AGGAAAGTTTTAACTCAGGTTTACTCCTTCTGAAGCGGTTTTGTTGTTGCTGTTTTTCCCCAAAAAAGTTTGATTTCCTTTAACAAAAACAATGTAGTTTTTTTTGTTTTTGTTTCCAAAAGGGCTCACAATGAATCTAGAAGAGATGTTCCTTGTGCACTAGTGCTGATAAGGTACAAACAGCAGGAACAGAAACACTGACATCAGTTGCTAGTAGTTGTGTATCAATCCCAACCTTGTCTGATCTCTGCCTTAACCCAAAGGGCACTTGGTCAGCTGCAGACCATGTGCTGTGGAATGGCCACGCAAAGCCTATCAAGAAGACCTTTTATGCCTACAAAACTGGCTTAAACCCCTGGATTTGCACTGATGTGAAAGAATGCAGCATTTTTCAATGCTTTGCTTGCTTGCTAAGCAGCCAGTCACATTACAGAACTGCCACAAACTTAGAGTCAAAGCCAGATTCCCAATTACTGCCACATCTGGCCATCTCTGAAAGTCCCAGAAGCAAAGAGAATGGGATACCCATCTCCACATCCTATAGAAGCATCTGGGGAGGCCATCCTCATCCCTGCCTCCAGTAGTTTGAACAATAAGCCAGCCCCATGCAGCTGCAGGTCTAGTGCTGGTGTTAAGATTCCTTAAAGGAATTGAACATATGAATTGGATGCTTTTCCACTGCATCTGCATAAGGATGCATGTGATGACCTGCCAGTTGAACTTGGAGACAGAAGTCTCACATCTGCAGTACATTTAGTGTGGTTGAAAAACAGAGTGATTCACAATTTGGGCCTGATCAGATTAACTTTGAAAATACGTGGTGCCATGAGATGTTATGAATCATATCTCTAAATAGAAAAAAAAACAGCTTTGCTGATCAAGCAAAGCCAGAGTTCAGGTTTGAGAGCGGAAGTGAATGAATGACTCGTGAGGGTCAAAGCCCCAGAGATGTGAGTGAAAGACCAGCTCAGGGAGGAGACTGATGGTCCCTTAGGGCTTTACATGTGCAAGCCGTGTGAAGGGGCCTTGTTTCTTGCTCCAGAGCTGAGGAGGGTATGCTGCTGCTAATGTCTCTGTGGCATGTGATGGCACAGTTGCTCACAGATGATGAGAAATGCTGTGGATGCATCTGAGATATAGCCAAACTTAAATGGCCAAATTCTTTTTGAAAGCACAGTAGAAGAGGCAATTGAAGGAGCCTCCGAGCAGTGATCCTAGGAGTGTTTTGAGGAGTACACAATCACAGCCAAGATTGTCCAGAGTCTGTATGTAAACATGCATCAGCTCAGCTGCATCTGCTGGCCCATCTTCTCCCTTTGTTTAAGTTCTTGGTCTCCATGGCCGCTGCAAGCAGATCACAGCACTGCTGAGGCAGCAATCAATGCTGCTCTGAATTCAGCTTACTACTGAGAATGCCAAGTTTAATCTTGAACTCAGTGAAACAATCCAGGGCAACAGAATGAGTAATTCATGTTGCAAATCATTAATGACTATGAAGCTTTGAGAAAAAGAAGTCGCTGTCATTTAAATGGTGAAGGCAATTTCTCTCTCCTTCTCCTAGACCTCCCAAGTCAGCATATCCCTCTCTAGCATGGAGGATGATGGTGCTTCGCTACTTTGAGCTTTTCCAGGGCAACCAGGACTAAGTTGCAGCCTTAAGCTGCAGTCACCTGCAGCCCAAGTCCTCTCTGTCTCCTTCTGTCCCTACTGCAGCCTGCTGCGAGCTGAAACAAAGAGCACAGCTGGCTCCATGCAGACCTGCTTCAAGGGTGGTAGGAATAATGCAGCTTTAAAATACCTGAGCAAAGCCCTGACTAGACTGAAAGGAGCATGCTTTGCAGCTGTGCCTACAGGTACCTGATCAGCACCCCTCAAAAGGGATGCATAATCAGTGTCACAGCTGCCACTGAGGAAAAAATAATAATAAGATAATTGAGACTGCCTGGCTACAGGTGAAATTTAGAATGGAGGTAATAGAAGGAGTTTTATTCCTTAGAAGGAAATATCTACTATGCTTGTATAAATATATCTGGATTTCACAGGTTTACTTTGTTTCCTCAAAAGTGAAAATGGTAACTTGGGGACACCAGTAAGAGTGTCCCCAGGAGCAGATGGTATATTGTTTAAAGATGTATGAGTTGCTCTTTCTTATCTTTGGGTCTCTACCCCTGAGAACCACACCAACTAAGTTGAAGAAAAATGATTTATGTCAGTGAAGTTAAGCAAGTGTCTGCTGGCTTGGAAATAAATTCTTACCCTGACTGCCTGGACCACTGAACTGGCTCCAGAGGCATCCTGTACGGCAACGGGTGGCTGCTATTCAATTTACATCCAAGCTCAGCTCTCACTGAATCTAAAGTTATGCCATGCACTTATTCAGAGAAAACAGAAAGGCAATTACACATCTTGTTTAATGTCATTGGACCAACAGATAGCACAGTACCAAGGCAAGGTACCAAGAGTGTAATGATTAAGGCCTGATCTCAGCCAGTGGCAATGATGTGCTGGGTGCACTGGTTTCATTGCAGTAGTGTGTGTGGAAGGAACTGGAAAGCGAGCAAACAGCAGGAGAAACCATTGAGAGTGTGGAACTTAAAAGGGTTAGAAAAACTCGTGGTACCTGGGCCTCCTGGAAGGAAAGCTTTATCTACACAGAACTGTGTTTAAAAAGGCTGTATTTCTCCATCTTTGTATATGAACAGGATTGCTGTATCAAAAGCAGTAGCTCTTTCTGCAGCCTAACATGATGAACTTGCTTAGTTGTGCCTACCTGCCTCAGGATTAGCACTTACAAGTCAGGAGTGTGGAACAGAGGCCCAGTACCACAAAGTTCAAAATCTATCCATTCTGAATGTAGCTTGTGAAACAGTGGGATCTGCACCAGCTTGTATCAGCAGACACAGCCCTTTAATTCCTATCATCACAGACCAGCAATTCATTAAAGACACATCTCAGAAATACACCAGACTTATCAGAGCAATTCTTTTCTCAGGAATCGTTAGAACAGCAGAGTTCTAGTGGCCCATGCTTAGATCCTGCAACCCTTCCAAGCACAGGGGTTCCATCAACAGACCCTAATGCTCACTTTCCTTTGTACAGTCCTTTATGATTACCTATCTGCATGGCAGCTAATAGGATGCTTATTAAAGTCTTCATGATCACTTTAAAAAAAGATTTTTAGAAAAATCAGTTATTAGACAAATAATCCATTTGCATAAATATTACTTTCATACTTTCAATTACTCTTGTCGTTTCCTAGTTAAAGGAGCAGCATCCCATTCAGAAGGAAAGCAGATATGAATTTGCCTTCAAAGGAGCCCAAAACACAGAGCCAGGTCTGAATACTGCTCTGATGATGACTTAGAGGAAAAATCCAGCTTACAGTGCTGCAGGGCTGAATCCATACAGTTTTAATAGGCAGCTCTGAATCAAAATCAGGAACTGCAGATCCAGCTCCAAAGCTAGCATTTGTTTTTGATACCCTGCTGCTATACCATAGGCAAGCATAGCACAAACCTTGGGTTCCTCTTAATGCTGAACACTTCATTAACAATATTAACAGTTGTAAAGAACACACTCTGCATTAAGTTCTTTCTTTCTTGTTCTGTACTTCCCAGCAGTCACACTTGCCTATTCTATCTTTGTTAGCTTGTTCCAGAGAGCAGAGAAAGCAAACCAGCTCCTACTGAAAGAGGGGGCACAAATACTTCACACAAATGGGAGTGAGAAAGCACTTCTGAAGGTCATCACAAGCAAAAACTGAATGCTAGGATGACCCTGAACGTTCATCTCCATAGTAGAATGAATAATGATTATGTTATCAGAGTGACGTTAAATATTGACTATGAATGCATTATAAATGGTTTTCCCCTGTAATTATATGGGCAAGATTAACTGAAGTTCTACCTGAAAGCTATAATTTTTGTGATACTTTGTAACTCTACTTAATGGAACTCGTAATAAATGGCCTATACTAGCAGGAAATACAGCAGAACAATTTTTATTTGGACTGCTAAAATACAAGCAGTACATTTCTAGAAAGCTATGTACGCATATTTTTAAAAAGCATTTAAAACAATGAGAAATATTATTTAGGTTACTTTGAAGGTAAAAACTTTCTTTACAAGTTGTTTTCATTAGCTGTAAACAAGCTATGCACCATATTTATGCATTTGATTGTGCAGAAAGTTTCAATTAAAACAGGCAAAAATTCTTGATAACTTTTCTGGCACGACTTTTGTTCTAAGTATTCCTCTACTTAGTAAGTTCTACTTCTAAGTAAAACAAACTAACAAAGAAAAAAGTAGATGGGTTAACTTTGCGGACTGTATTTCCACGAGTGCCTTCACTAGTTGTAAATGAGCAGAGATTTTGTTCTGAATGCTGAACAGCAATTTGAATCCTTTGTAAGCCAGTTAATTCTCATAATGGACAAGGGTGGTAAACTGTACAAACCAAGGAGACTAAGGCTTATCTTTAGGGGTCCCTGAGGGTTTTCTGCAGGTCTCCTTTCCCCTAGCAATGAATAAATGAAGGATTTTAATTAGAAGTTCATTAGCTTGGGGAAGCAGTTTCGCAGTCTGTACCTGCAGCTGTACATTAAGTGTAAACACTTTTTCTCTGAGTGCCGTCCAGCAGCAGCAGCACCTCTCCTTTGGGTGAGGTCCCTCCAGTCCCTCCACACGCACTCAACGTTTCGCACAGCACGGTAAGCCAGAATCGTGCTTCCCCGCAGCACCAGTGAGGCGGAGGTCGCAAACGCAGGCAGGCGTTGCAGTCACGTCTGCGCAAGGGGCGCACAAGCTTTCATCCACCGGATGGAGCTGGCGGGCACCTGCACAGCCTCCTGCCTCCACCAGCCGCCTTCCGGTACTGCTCTGGAGTCGGGCCACACAGGTAAGGCTGCGTGCTGAGCGCGCCGAGCCTCAGCGGGGCTTCCAAGTGTGAGAGCTCCGGGCGCGGCTCGAAGGCAGCCCCGCCGAGCTGCGTTCCGCCGGCGTTCAGTGGGTGTGCTGCAGGACGAAGGCGCACTTCTTGTAGGCAGCGTACAGCAGCAGGATGGCGCGCATCATCTGCTGGCACATGGCGGCGACCACCCTCGCTTCCGCCTCCCGCAGCCCGCGGGCCCGCCACCGCCGCGGGTCGACCACCCTGCAGAAAGCCGAGCGCTCCGAAACGCGCAGGACGCCGATCCGGCGCGGCGGCTGCGCCGTAACCAGCCGCTCGAAGACGGCGTCGAGGCTCTGCAACCTCACGGCTTGCGGCCGCGGCAACGCGGCCCCGCCGCCCCGCTGCCCGCCCGCCGCCGCCTGCAGGCCGGCCCAGCGGAAGGGGTGCGCCGAGGCGGCGGGCGGAGGTTGCGGCCGCGTTCCCCGCAGCCAGCCCAGCGACTCGTCCAAGGGCGAGGGAGCCCACAGCCGGTAACCGTCCGCCATGGCGCCCCGCGGCCTGCCGGCATCTGCCCGCCGGGCACAGCCGTTGGCCGCGGAGGCCGTCTCCCGTCCTCCCAGCAGCCCTCCCGGCACCGCGGCTTCGTCTGCCGTTGTCTCTTCACACGTCGTCCTCGTCCTGTTCGTGCTTTATTCTAATCGTCGTCCGTCCTGTCCCGTCGTCCCCCCCCGCCCCCATCCTCAGAACTCATCGTTTTCTGACTCAGTTACTGTGATCTGCCTTTCTGCAGCCGCCATTGGAGCCTATCTCCGTGTGCCCCGTGTTTAGGGCTAATCTTGTGTGACCAACCTATTGGCCTTCTCTGATAGTGTCACTGCAGCAGTGGACAAGGGAAGAGGCACTCGTGTCACCTGTCTCAACCTCAGACCTTTGACGTGGTACCCCACAACATCTTTCTCTACAAATGGGAAAGATAGGGGTTTGGTGGGTGGACTGTTTGATGGATGAAGAACTGGCTGCAGGTCCGGGTCCAAAGAGATGGTGGTCAATGGCTCAGTGTCTGGATGGAGACTAATGATGAGTGGTGTCCTCCAGGGTCAGTGCTGGGGCCGATGCTCTTTAATATCATCATCAGTGACATCAGCAGTGGGGTTGAGTGCAGCCTCAGCGAGTTTGTTGATGACACCAAGCTGTAGGGTGCAGTGGACACACCAGAGGGACAGGATGCCTTCAGAGGGACCTAGACAGGCTTGAGCAATGGACCCAGTTGAACCTCAGGAGGTTCAACAAATCCAAGTGCAAGGTCTTGCACTTAGGCTGAGGGAAGCTCAATTACCAATAAAAAATGGGGGATGAAAGGGTTGAGAGCAGCCCTGCCAAAGAAGACCTGGGGTTATTGGTGGATGGCAGGCTGGACATGAGCCAGCAATGTGCCCTCACAGCCCAGAAAGCCAGCCAGGTCCTGGGCTGCATCAAAAGATGCATGGCCAGCAGTGTGAGGGAGGTGATCCTGCTGCTCTACTGTGCGCTGGTGAGGTCTCACCTGGAGTGCTGCATCCAGATGTGGAGTCCTCAATACTGGAAAGACGTGAAGCTGTTGGAGTGCATCCAGAGAAGGACCGCAGAAATGATCCATGGAATGGATCATGTCTCCTGTGAGAACAGGCTGAGGGAGCTGGGGCAATGCATGTGCGTAAAGATTAGTGAGCTTTGCCAGGGACTGCTTCTCTAATTCGTGTTCCAATAAATGCTTTGCTGTGGACAGGGGAGGTTGTTGGTGGGTTTTTGCCTTTTTCTCTGCAGTTTTAATGATTCTTGTGGCAAAACCTCCTGGACAATGCGATGATCCTCCCACCAGTAAAGAAATGAGATGTCATGGAAATTATAGCCACAGTTGGCAACTACACTCAGTAAGAAATGTGGTGGTGGTAGGTTGCCAGACTTGCCTGCAGTAGCTCTGTCTTTCAAGTTGCTGCTGACCTGCTTATCTCTGCAAACAAAATCTTCCTTTTAAATGGTTCTTGTTTGATACAAGGCTGTTGGAATGTGTACATACCAAGAATAAAGGAAAATGTAGGAAGTGTTCCTTAGAAATACCAAAGCAAATAAATATCGAAACAGTCATCACTGTTATGAGAACACATGAAATTCCCAATCCAAAATAGTGTTTTATTATGCTTGTGATGAAAGGAGGGTCCAATGTCACCTATTTAACTTAGCATAGAATAAGTTTTCGTTTTGGATTAATCTCTCTGGGAATGCATTTTTTAATTCACTGTAGCATCTGTGATTTGCATTAATATATGCAAAGCATTGTAACAGCCATACTCCTTCCAAAAGCAAATCTCTTCAGAATTAAATGCTCTGTTTTTCTAGAGGGAATTGCCTTTTGTTTGAAAAAATCCCTAAACATGAATTATTTATTTATTTATTTATTTATTTGGTTAACCAACATACTGAGAGCACAGTACTCTGGCTTTGACAGCAAAATGCACAGAGCATTTAGCAGTAGTGGTATAAAGGGTTTAATTTTGCCTGTTATAAAACTGGAAAATTTCTTTACAGTATATGCATATATGTTGGCTACACTGGAGTGTCTCTATCCAGTACTAAAAGCACGTGTGGGTGTCTATATATATGCATATTATCTGAGTATGTATACATACATATTTTTGGCCTGTTCCAAGTGGCAAATCGTGATATTATTTCATTTTCTGAATCAGGTTTTCAATCCTGAGGTCACTGCTCAGCCCGTTGATTTAGGACTATTTGCTACTGATTTTACAGGGGACTTGCTTTGTTAAAGTCTGAATAGAAAACTGATGACATCTTCACATTTTCGGTCTGAGTTAATACTGGGTGACTGTGATTTGTTTCTTAGGAGCATAGGGGACCTGGAAGACCGCAGTCTGTTTCTGTACTGTTAATGTTCAGAAGTCTACTTGTCCAGCCTCCTGCTTGCTGTGAAACCCTTCCAGGTAATCTCTTTTCAGATGTCAGCATACAGTTGGGTTGTACCTTGCTGTGAATTCCTTGGTCACGAGGAAGAAGTGAAAAGTAATAATTTGAAGATCTGGTAGAGACTGTACCCCACTTTGTTTCTTTAGTTTAGTTTTTGTTTTTATTACTGTTATTTATTTTTTTCAGTCTTGAATTTGTGTTAACTGTATAGATATCTTTTAAATATCCGAAGGATGGCTTTTTGGAAAGACAAAAAAACTGTATTTAAGGCTGCGTTACTTTTCTTTACGTCTTTCTTGTTGCTCAGCTAGTTTGGTCCCTTTGTTTTGTTTTCTGTGACTCAAGGCCTAAGTACTATTGTACTATTTGACACATTTAGCTTCATAAAAGAGCCCCATGGCTTGTAATTAATAAGAGATGCTATAATCATAACCACTTTCTCATGGAACTGCACTATTTTTACTCGGTTCATGACATTCAGACTTGTTAACATGCTGACACGTGTTTTACAACATTTCACAAACTTAGCATCTCTACCGTGCAGGCTGAATAGTAAATGCACTTTTCATAGCTTGTATAATGCTGTTTAATAATAAGAAAAAAGATTCCAAACGGTCTATTTCAGCCATGTCCCAGCCGTGACATCCCGGTCTGACCAAATGGCCTCTGACATGGAAGTGCGTATGAAACAAAAGTGTGTCACTGAATTTCTCTGTGCACAAAAAATGGCACCCGCTGACATTCCTTGACGGTTGTTGAACATTCTCAGAGACCAAACAGTGGATTTGAGCACGGTGAGGTGGTGGGTGGTGCGTGTCAGCAGTGATGACACTGACATTGAGTCACTTCCACTGGTGCAGATTTTTACAAGCACGGCATGCAGGTTCTTGGCTGTCACTGGTGAAAATGCGTAGCTATTGGTGGTGACAGTGTTGAAAAGTAGTTTTTTTGTAGCTGAGAATTTGCTTTATCAAACAGCATTATTGTCTGCTTTGTCTCTGTTGTAGTTTCCATTCATTGGTCCCCATGGAAGTTCAGCAAGCGTCAATGGGACAAGGAGAGAACAGGCTGAGGACAGCAATCCCTAATTGGCCTTCTCAGAGTGGAGAACCCCATTACCAGGGCCCAAGGACCTCACAGGCCCTCCAAGGAACCCCTTGCAGTCTAAGTACAGCCCATAGGATGCCAGGCCCCCTCTTCCCCATCATTCTCCTTTGGAATCAGGGCAGAAGAGATGCCACCTTCTCATACCCAGATACAGAGGTGAGGGAGGGAAAGGGCAGCTGATGGAACCCTTAAAAGTCAACCATTTTTTAATGATTGCATATCCCTTGGCTGCTTGCATGATGTCAGTATGCTTTGCCTCTTCTCTGCTGCTGTCTGGCACCAGGATAGCTTCACCTTAGGCAGCTGCAGGGTCGTTGAGAGCCCCCTTCTCCAATCCTCTTGGTACCTTCCTGCAACCACCTCACAGAATGGGCCATGGGTCCCAACTCCCAACAGCCGTGTTTTGTTCACCACAGGACACTCAGAATCCTATTGCCATGGCCACCTTCTGTTTCGAGCCCTATAAATACGGGGACCCTGCATACAGAACACCAGTTGCTGAGCTGAAGCAGCCAGTGATACTTGTGAGATATATTAAGAAGTTTATTTCCCGGAATGAGGATGAGGAATCCACCTTTCAAGAAGAGACAGATGATGGAAATGGATGATGACATCGAGCCCATGGAGGTGGATTCACCTGGTAGTGATGAAGAGCCACATGGAGGTGGGTCAACCTCTGGAGAATGACCTGATGGAAGTGGATCCACCTCCATTGGAGCAGACCGGTCACCAAGCCATCACTGTCAGGCCAACTATGAAGAGATTTGCGCCCCAGAGATTATCATAGGGGCGCTGGGATCAATATGCCTCCCTCCAAACAGCTGCCTCGATGCAGGTGCTGATCCTCCCATCCCATAGGTTTATTATAACCCGGGAGAGCCCCAGCTCAAGGCCATCCTGTAGGCTCACATGGAGCCTTCATTTCCTGGTAATTCTTCTTTTGACAGCCAAGGCTGTTACGAGCCCATCCTTCCTTTCCTCCTTCCTCATCCTTTCTCAAGGGAAAGAAGGGATGAGAAGTGACAGCTGTTCCTGTGGAGAAGCAGACTTTAGTTCAGACAGGAAGAAGCGCTGAACTTCAGCAGGAAGATCCAATCCAGATGCTCCACGTGGACTTTTTTTTCAGGGTTAGACAACCAACAATTTAAAATAACAATTCAAAATAAATAACAAAAACACAAAATAAACATTTTTTTTTCTTTTATAAAAACTGTAGTTGTCTCTCTTTTTTTTTTTTTTTTTTTTTTTCTGGAAATGTAGAGTTTGCACGTAGGTTCCTGCGTCCCCTCCTTGTTTCTACCCAACAGGAACGAACCCCTCATTTCTAGCCAGACGAAGAAGCACTGCACCACACACACCGCGGCTGTCCCCTGATACAGCAATTTGAGAACAGGTTTCAAGATTGAAAAAAAAATTTGTTGCTGTAGTTATGACTCCATTCTGAGGTGACATAAATACATTATCTGCAAATTTTCAA